CGTATCAACAGTTTAGGGATTTGCATACATAATTTATTGTTTTATTACTCTCTCATACATAAAAATACACTATAAGCAGCTGGACAAAAGAAGAAATAAAGTTGTGGTTAACAGAAAACAAAATTTGTCACACTAATATATTTTTAAATATAGATTTACTTTAAAGGTGTGGAGAGTACAAAATTCAAAGAAATTTGTTACTGACCAAATGGCTCTTAAATATGGCCATGAAATTCTTCGACTTTGCCATTGCCACTATAATACAATTGAGTTAGTTTGGGGTATAGCCAAAAAATTTTATGATAAACATGCATCCAAAACAACAGATGACGTTAGTGTTCTTAGTTTGTGGAAAGAACCGCTAGAACAAATAAAGGCAGAAATATGGCAAAATTGTATTAGACATACGAAAGACAGTTATAGATGAGGTCCGGCCTCTAATTATTCGGATAGACAATTCAGGTAGTGACAACTCTGACAGAGAAATATCAAAAAATGAATAGGAAAAATTGTTTGCCAAAAAGAAGTAATGAAAAAGTGTTTTAATAATTCAATTCGGACTTTGTGGTGTGTTTTAGTTAAACGGTAAATTACCTTGGGTCTAATTACTGGACTGCATACTCTCAATACTGGACGGTGTCGTCACGGAAGCTATAAAGATAGGACTCTCAGTACTGATAGCCAAAATTTAAAAGCTCTTTAATCTATGCCTATGGAATCAAAATATCCTAACAAAGTGGAATAATTCAATAACTGTACTCTTACACAAGCAGGAAGATATAGCAGACCTGGAAAGATACAGACCAATCAGTCTCCTTAACCATCTTTATAAATTATACACCCGAATAATAACGAACAGATTAGAGATAAAGCTGGATTTTTACCAGCCTCAGGAACAAGCTGGTTTTCGTCCTAATTACGGCACAAACGATCATCTGCAATGCATAAATAGAAAAAACTAACGAATATATCCGTCCCTTGGCATTGATATTTGTAGACTTTAAAAAGGCGTTTGATACAGTGGAACTAGCGTCCATCTTAAGAGCACTACAAGATTGCAGGGTCGACCACAGATATTGTAATATAGTTAAAAATATATATATGAAAATGCCACAACAACCATAAGTCTACATTCTGCAGCTAAAAAAATAAAGTTAAAAAGGGGAGTCAGGCAAGGTAATATGTCACCAAAGCTGTTCATTACCGTTCTTAAGTATGTATTTAAAAAACTAACATGGCAAGAAAAAGGAATATCCATCGATGGAGAAAGATTATACCATCTACGTTTTGCGGACGATAAAGTGCTTCTGTCAGATAATCTGGGAGAGATCAAAGACATGCTCCAAGAACTGAAGGACATACTACAAGAAACTGGACTGGAGATAAATTTCGAGAAAACCAAAATGATGACTAATATGGTCCCAGCGAAGAGATACAGATCAATTACAACAAGGTAGAATTTATCGATAAATACACATACTTGGGTCAAGAAATTAGAATAACCAGAGACAATTAAACCTGCGAGCTAAATAGACGGATCACGTCGGGATGGGCGGCATATGGATGGATGAGAGACATTTTTATAACAAATATCCCGAATCACCTGAAAAGGAAGACATTTAATCAATGCACCTTACCAGTCTTTATTACGGAGCAGACACCCTAACTTTAACGAAAGCTACTGCCGAAAAACTGAGGGTAAAACAAAGGCGAATGGAGAGATCAATGCTGGGCCTGACCTTGAAAGATCGCGTGAGAAATGAGGAGATACACCGGCGAACTGGCCTAGATGATATTATACTGCTAATCAATAAACAAAAGTGGAGGTAAGATGGACATGTTGCTAGAATGGAAGACGGAAGATGGAGGAAGAGATTGTTGGAGTGGAGACCAAGAGCCGACAAGCGAAGTCGAGGCAGACCACACACCCGATGGACCGACGATCTAAGGAGAATAGAAACAAACTGCATTGCAGCAACTAGAGATAGAGAGAACTGGAGACGTTTGGAGGAGGCCTATATCCAACAATAGATGTGAAAATGGGGCTGGATGATGATGATAATTGTTGTATTATTGTTTATTTAATATTTAGCTACATCCCTAACTTATACCTCGTAGTTTAGTTTTAGATGTTTAACTTTTTTAACAAATCGATTGTTTTGCTGTTTTTAATTTTTTATTTGCTTATTTTTCCAAAAAAAGTTTGTTTTAACCACTCTTTTTTATGTATATTCCGTAGCTAGTCAAGGTTGTGTATCAAAATCACCAAGACAAACTTTTTTTTTGTAAACGGAAGAAGTTCATTTAATTCATTTTAAGAATCTTCTTTAGCAGACACTTCTAACTTATTCAATTGCAACTCATTTATACTAAAAAGTAATACAAACTAATACAAGTCAACAAGCAAAACAAGAATGCACGATCGTTGTAATGAAATAGAAAAACACATTAAAATTTAACACAAATGTAAAATTACTACCTACCAAATACTACCAAACAACCGTACGCAATGACAGCAAATTATACATTGGCATTCTTCTTGCCATATTGCCGTAAAGTGACGTCATCGCTTCGATTTATTTTTTCTCAAACGCTAGAAAGCGCATTATATATTGCGCAGTGTCTATCATTATTATATGGTCTTTAATCAAAATACAATATTGCTTACCGGTAGTATGAGCACATATATAGTTACGCGAACACGAATACTAACAGCCACAGATCACAATCACTGGGGGCTGTTGAAGGCGAAGCTTCCACTATAGGCACTGCCAGGATAGATCTAAGAGATTATATCGCTGCAATCTCATCGCTTGTTGCTTCTTTAGAAGATTGGTTGGGATGCAAGCGCAACGTGTTTTAATATTGTTCGGGAATTCTATTAACCTCTTCAGAGATTGTAAGTACATGTAGATTTCTATGTAAGGCGTCATTCTGGATATACCAAGTTGCATTGGCAATTGTTCTTAAAGTTTTAAATTGAAATCTTTGTATTTTCATACCATTTTGATTTGCTAGCAGATCCCCAGAGCCACGAACCATATGACCAAATGCGTTTTATGATTACTTTGTATATTAACAGCTTGGTATCAATCAACAGGAATGAGCTTTTCTTTAGCATACACTAAAGGTTTTTGTGTAAAACTTCTAGTAGTCTTCTTTTCGTCTATATATGTTTGCTACATGATAATCGTTTGTACAAATGAATGCCTAGATATTTTACGTCATTCTTTTAGGGTAAAGAATGTCCATCGAGGTTAACTTGTGGACATATACCTCTTCTTAGAGGAAATGTTATATGTGTAGATTTTGAGAAATTTACTTTAATTCAAGTTTAAACCAATTCATTAGTTTTGTTTAGATGTAGTTGCAATATCTCTGATGCTATTTCTAGATTACTATAAGATATTAGGAAAGCAGTTTCATCTCCAAATGTTGCAAACGTTTGGTTATTGCTTGTTAATAAGTCAACCGTATATATCAGGTCTAGAGTCTAGCTCTAGAGTCTATCTAGCTCTAGAGTCAATATTTAAGGGTACTCAATGACAAGATATGGGCATCAATATAGATGGAGAAAGATTAAATCACCTAAGGTTTGCAGATGATGTTGTATTAATCGCAGATAACTTACATGATACAGTTTCCATGATGCATTCGCTTAAAGCTCTGTCTGAAAGAGCATGATTAAAGATAAACTTTGAGAAAACTAAAATTATAACAAATCTCGTAATGAGTGGAAATATAACTATTGACAATAATACCATATAACAAACAGACACTTACAAATATCTGGGACATGAAATCAAAATAAGCAGAGACAATCAAACACATGAAATACAGAGACGAATAGATCTAACATGGGCAGCATTTGGCAAATTAAGCCATATTCTAAAAAGTTCAATTCCCATGTGTCTCAAGCGAAAGGTTTATAACCAATGTGTTTTACCTGTACAAACTTATGGAGCAGAGACTTTAACACTCACGCAAAAATCTGCGAATAAACTTAGAGTTACACAACGAGCCATGGAACGTGCAATGCTGAACGTGAGCCTTCGAGACCACATAACAAACCAACAAATCAGGCGAAGATCAGGAGTTCAAGACGTCATCGAAAGAACCACGACGCTTAAGTGGAACTGGGCAGGGCACTTAGCCAGAACACAAGATGGACGGTGGACAAGACGTATTATGGAATGGAAGCCCAGAAATTATCAAAGAAGCCGAGGACGACCACCGACTAGATGAACCGATGACATTAAACGTGTAGCGGGAAACTGGCTACAAGCGGCCCAATGTAGAGAACACTGGAAAGAACTGAGGGAGTCCTATGTCCAGCAGTGGACGCGATTGGCTGATTGATGATGATGATGATATATCAGGTACAGGATCGGTCCGAGCATACTACCCTGAGGTACACCACATAGGATGGGGTAGAGTTTTGTATAGGCTTCACTATACCTTACTAGATATTTTCTTTTTGTAGGGTATGATTTCAGCAGTTTGAAGTAAATATAAGGTAGGTTTTTCTTTAACTTATACACAAGTCCTGTATGTCAAACCTCGTCAAAAGCTTAGGAAGCGGCTACAGTAGAGTATTGCTTGTTTTCGACTAGTTCTGCAACTAGTTCTTATTGTTGTATATAATCTGTAAACTTGTTTTATTGTAGTGTGTTGGTTACAAAATCTGAATTAATAGTCAGGTATATACCCATTTTGTCCAGTATTGATTTGATTTCACAACAAAAGTTTTTTAAAACACGATTTGGAAAAGCATTATACCAGTTTAAGTATGACAAAGGATTGAATACATTTTACATGTATGTTTAAATTAGAAAAGAACAAGAATTTATTAAAATATGTTCACTCAACAAACTTGCAATACAAAACAATATAAAATACAAGTGAGCTCTGTTATAAAACTATGCTATCAATAATTCTCGAACAGAGTATAAAAAAATAGTAAAATATGTATTATGGCTACACTATAAAATAAGTCATACCTCTAAAATTTCCACACTGTAAATAACCGATGTAGCAAAAACATTGTCTACAATTATTTTGATACTCGGAGCATAAGCCACGCCCATTTTAATTTTATTGTTATATTCTGGTTTCATTGCGAGTAAAATGAAGATACAAGTGTTACCTTGAGAATGTCCAATAAGGAAAGGTTTTTGTTTTGTGTTCTTTAGTACAAAGTCTATGTTTGTAGCCAGGTCATGGATAGCTATTTCATGGAACCTAAAAATATATTAAAATATCTTATTAATGGTTAATTTTAATCTAATTTTTGCTATAGATTACTATTAGATAACAGTAGGTACTGTTATAATATATATTATATATATATATATATATATATATATATATTATATATATATATATATATTATATATATATATATACATATATATATATATATATATATATATATATATATATATATATATATATATATATGTATATATATATATATATATATATATATATATATATATAATTGTGATAATTAGCTAATTAATTAATTAATTAATTAATTAAAATGATTTAAATGATATGATTATGATTCTATCACATTTTAATTCTCTTATCTCAGGGTTATATTCGTGCTTCAATATCTATGCTTTACATGTGAAAGGTAAGGTCCAAAGAATACCGGAATAATAAAAAACACATATGATATAACATTATATATTGAAATAAAAATAATGAAATAAAATTCACACTCAAATGTTTTCAATAAACAATATCTCATATAATGATTCTCAAAATTTTGTTCTACGTACGTGAACCTTCAAAATTAATGGTACAAACAATATTAGTTAAAATCTCAAAATCCCAATTATTATTCTAAATCTCCTAATCAAAATATTTATATCTTTTCTAAAGTAATTGTAAAAATTGTGTTATCAATAAAAGAAAAACTGCAGAAAAACAAAACTATCTCTCTATGATGATGAGTGGTCCAAATCCTTGTTCCTTGTAGCCTACACTATCTATTCTTAGCAGCTCCCTAGGTAATCAGCAATCTTACAACAAATTGTTGCAAGTTTATCGTCCTTAATGATCTCCTTCAAATGCACGAATCGTTTAAATTATGCTAGCCTCTTCTCCTCTCGATAAACTGAATCTCTCGTTGGCCTAAGTGAAAAATGACTCTTGGAATATCTTCTCTTTATGATAAACTGTATCTCTCGTTGGCCTGAACAGTAACTCTTGGAATATAAGTAGAAAAATATGACCTACTTATTTTTACTGGATCAGCTTCTGTCAGATACACTAACTACACGAAAACTAACAAACTTTCACTGCTACTGCTTCCTACCTCTGGGAAACTACCCGAGAACAACGGCCGTTCGCCTTGCACCCTTGGAAACCAACTGACTATCTTTTTTCTTCAAAAACTAACTAAAGTCTCATTCTCAAACCAATCATCCCACCTTTAATCTCATCCAATCAAAACGCGTCATACATCTCCCATTTCTTCATTTCGATAACACAAACAAATTTTACCTACAATTATAAAATTTCCTAAAACTTATTTACAAACTAATCTTTTTCTACAAATTCTTATGAACTAACAAAAACATATCTTTCTAAAATCTATTCTATTGTCCTAATTACTGCACAAATTTATTTGGAAAACCCGCTTCCATTCTCTAGGATTTCACTTAAGCTTATTCACGTCACTCAAATATATTTTAACAAAGAAAATAATTTATGCATATCTTACGTTTTGTTCAATATAGGTAATCCAAAGATAAAAGACTTTCATTCTTCGAAATGTTTGTTGTTTATTATTCGACTTATCTGAATTATTTTAATTTTTTGAACTTTGAAATATTTTAAGCAAACCAATATTTTTCTCGATTTTACATATCATAACAATATATATATATATATATATATATATATATATATATATATATATATATATATATATATATATATATATATATATATATAACGTTCTCCTACGTCTTCCGATGCCTAGTCGCCATTCACTTCGGTCCATCCAAAGGTCTTCATCTAATTCTCTTTCTCTCATACTTCGATTTATGCCTTCTCTCCAACTAAGGCGGGGTCTTCCTCTTTTTCGTCTACCATGAGGGGTCCACGTTAGGATTTGTTTCGGGAGTCGTTCTTCGGACATTCTTTGTACGTGTCCATACCATCTAAGCTGTTTGGTACTAATGTCATCTACTATTGTGTGTTTCACATTCATTATTTCCCTAATTCTGTTGTTGGTTACCCTTTCTAATCTTGATTTTCCTGCTGAGCGCCTCCAGAAATCCATTTCTGTGGCTTCAAGTTTTCTCTTGTATCTTTCTTTTATTTGCCATACTTCACTGCTGTAAGTGATTATACTCTTAACAATTGTATTGTATATTTTATGTTTGTTGTTGTTTGATATTGCCTGGTCCCACAGTATGCTACTGAGAAGGGTAATTGCTTTTCTTCCCTGGTTGTTTCTTTCTTCTGTCGTCCGGTCTACGTTTCCTTTTTGTGTGATGGTCATACCCAGGTATTTATATGCGTCACAATGTTTAATAATTTCGTCATTCCCCAGTGTAAGGTCCTGCTGTGTCCCACCGATACACATATATTCGGTCTTTTTTATGTTTATTTCCAAACCACCTTTTTTGTACTCCTCTAATAATTTCCTTGTCATATATTCTATATCATCGTAGTCTTGCGCTAGTACAAGTTGGTCGTCTGCAAATGACAAAGTGTATATTTTATTGTTGTTGATCGGTAATCCCATGTTTTTGCATTTGCGTTTCCAAAGTTTTAGAGTTTGCTCAAGGTAGATCTTAAATAATGTCGGTGAAAGGCAGCACCCTTGTTTTAGGCCTTTGCTAATTTGGAATCCTCTCGATAGCCCGCTTCCAACTTTCACCCTTGCTGTAGTTTTGGTATACAATTGTTTCGTCGCTGTTATTAAATTTGCGCTTATATTGGTTTTCTCTAATGCTTCCCATAGTTTCTTTTGTGGGATGCTATCATACGCTTTTCTCAAGTCCACATATAACAGATGCACCTCCTGGTTGACGGCCAGTTTCTTCTCAATAATCTGTGTAATACAAAGCAGATGGTCTACCGTTGATCTCCCTGCCCGGAATACTGCCTGTTCTTCAACTTCTATATCTTTATATTCGTTTTCGATTTTATTTTTACTCAGTTTTCCGTATATTCGGCTGATTGAGTTCGTTACAGCGATGCCTCTGTAGTTGTCACATTGATCCCGTCTGCCTTTTTTATGTATGGTGGATATCCATGACGTCTTCCATTCTTCTGGGATTTCCGCTCCGTTGATGTATCTTTGAAAGAGTTTAGCCAGGTTTTCATATAATTTTGTTGTGCCATATTTTATTAGTTCAGCTGGTATGTTCCCTGGTCCTGGTGCTTTGTTATTTTTTAAAGACTTACATACTTCTTCTACTTCTTTTGTTGTTATTCTTAATGATGAGGCTAAGATATTTACGTTGCTGGTATCACTGTTATTTAAAAATTCCGCTCTGTCCTCATTTAGGAGTTTTTTTAAAATATTCGTCCCATTGATCCGGTGTGATTGATGATATTATATCTCTTTTCTTTTCCTGTTGTAGCGATTTTAATACTTTCCAACTTTCTGTACTTCTCCGTCCTCCTAAATGTGTGTTAATCATGTTACACTTTTGCTCCCAAGCCTCATTCTTCTTTTGGCATATCATTTTTCGCACTTTAGCTTGGGTCCTCTTGTATTCTACCTTATCAGCGTCGGTCCTTGTGTTCAGAAATTTTTTATACTTCTCTCTTTTATTTTTGATCTCTTGTTCTATTTCTTTGTCCCACCAATACGAAGTTTTTCTGTGGCTTTTTACTTGGAGTCCAAGAGTCTTTGTTGCTGCTTCCTGAAGACATGTTTTTATATAATGATAATGCTCTTCATTGCTGGTAAATTGCATGGTTTCTAACTTTTTATCTAGTCTACTCCTGTATAAATCCCTCACGCTTTCTTGTTCTAAGCTGTTTAGGTTGTATTTCTTTTCTGTTAGTTTTTCTATTTCCTCTGCAGCTTCTTTTAAATCTCTTGCTCTATCTATTCCTATTGTGAGCTTTGTTTTTAATAGATGGTGGTCACTGCCGCAAGTGGCTCCTCTATATACCCGCACATCCTGTACAATCAATTTAGTCTTTTGTCTTATGATTGTATAGTCTATGATTGATTTCAGCCCTCGGGTATTTTGTGTCCATGTATATTTATTGATATCTTGGTGTTGAAAGAATCCATTTGTGATTTTCATATAATTTTGTTCGCATAAGCCTATTAGTCTAGTACCGTTGTCATTTATAGCCTCTTCACCATATTGGCCTATGACTTTGTTGTGTTGTTTATTGCCTGTTCTACTGTTTAGGTCCCCCAAGATTATAATTTCTCGTGATCTGCCGATATTTGCAATTTCTGAATGTAGCTTTTCAAAAAAGTCGTCTTTAATATTCACCAGTGCATTATCGTTTACTGCATATACTCCAATAATTGTAATCTTTTTTCCTTTGATAGTTAGATTCATTTTTATGAGCCTTTCGTTGATGGCTTTCCAAGCAGTTATGAATCTCCTTAGTTTCTTTGTTAAAGTATAAGTATACCTACGCCTTGTTGGGCTCTTTTCTCCTTTGGTACCCCGCTGTAGAAGTAATCATATTCTCCGATATTTTCTGATCCTTGACCTTTTCGTTTTGTTTCGGTAATCACTGCGATGTCTATGTTCAGTCTATTTATTTCATGTATTACTTCATTTATTTTCTGTTTAAACCCTTGTACGTTCCTAGTTCCAATATTTATTATCCTTTTCCGTAGCATGTGTCGTAGTGCTATAATCCATCGATTCCGAGGCGTCTCGCTAGATTTTTTAACAGTTTGAATTTTTCCGAGTAACGGGGAGTTAACCCGATGCCTCAACCCCCGACCTGGAGGACCAGGGTTTGATTTTGGAGTATTCCTTCTCCTAGAGGATTTGCTTTCTCCACAGCTTTAGAGCATCCTCCGCCCTACCTGTTGGTCCGCGGGTAGTATTTTATTTCCTACCTATCCGCCAGCACTAGGCTGGTGAGGACATGCCCCTATCCGCCACCTTGGGGATGCGCTCTCTAGGGATTACAGGTTCCCCCGAAAGATTATATATATATATATATATATATATATATATATATATATATATATATATATATATACTTCTAGCGGTTAATATGGGCTCCGT